TATGTTTCTAAATGGATATAAGGTGTGTCAACTTCAAAAGATGATGCTCAAATTATGTTTAATTTTTTAAGAAAGAATATTTTTTTTATAGATTTAGGATGCTAAGTATTTTAATTAGTTAAGCAGGAAGTCATTTTTGTAATAAAAGAGTAGAAACTTTCCTTAAGAAGTTTGGAATTCTTCATAAGATAAATACTACTTACCATCCTTAAAATAGTGGGCAAGTTGAAATTAGTAAAAGAGAAATCAAGAGGATATTGGGATAAATTGTCAATTTTAATATAGAAGATTAGGCAATTAAATTGGATGATGAATTATGGGCCGATAGAACTGTATTTAAAACTCCAATTGGTATGATTTCTTATAAATTAGTTTTTGAAAAAGCTTATCATCTTCCCGTGGAATTAGAGCATAAGGCATTATATGAAGTCAAAGAATTGAATTCAAATCTTAAAGTATAAAAGAAAAAAAGATTGCTACAATTGAGTGATTTAGAAGAAATTAGAAATGAAGCTTATTAAAATACAATAATTTTTAAGGAAAGAGTTAAAAATGGCATGAAATAATACTTCTTAAGAAATAATTTACTCCTGGTAAGGATGTTTTACTTTTTAATTCTAATCTTAAGCTATTCTTAGGAAAAAAAAATCTAGGTTGTTAGGACTATTCACAGTCATTAAAATATTTTCCTATGGGACTCTGAAAATACAAGATAAGAAAACTAGCTTATCTTTAAAGTTAATGGCCATAGATCGAAACCTTATTTAGGAGGAGATATTGATCAATTTTAAGAAATAACAAAATGTGTTCATTCTAAAAAGCAATGATTGGTATAGTATGGCTGAAGACTTAAAACTTAGTGCTTTTGAGACGCAACTTATGTATGTATTATGCTAGTCGAGTGTGAATGAAATGCTATGTTTTGTTTTTTGTTAACACATATTTTATTTTCTTTTAATCATTCATATGTAAAGATGTGTTTGTAGTTTATTATGTGTTTATTTATATTTTATAAAACTACCTTCAAGCTTAAATTATTATTGTCATCCGATGACTTTTATATTCTGATTATTCAATTAATCCTTATAAACATGATAATAAAAATTTATATTAAATTAGGATAATAATAAAACTCTAGATCTTAGCTTAAATGAACATTCTTTATACTTCATAGGTTGGAAAACTAATACTTAACTCATTCAATTATTTTAGATATTATCCTAATTTTAATTTATAAGTTATACTTTTATGAATTTAACTTTTAAAATGGAATATGAATAATTAGAAATAAAAATTAGATATCGAGTAGATTAAAATAAGAAATTCTAAGCCAGCACGAAGTTAGAATTAGTAATCTCATTAAGTACATTAAAATTATTAAAATTGTATGGATGTTGAAAAAAAGAATTGATATTATATTTAAAATTATTAACTATGCACTCCATAAAAAGAAAAAAAAACTATAAAATAGTTCCAAAAAAGAAAAGAAATAAAAAGATATATATATATATCAAAAGAAAAAGGTGAGAAAAGCTTAATATTTGAAATTCTATCTTATACAAAAATTATGAAGGATAAGATGAGAAAGCTAATATAAGGGATGATGAAATAATGAAAGTACAGTTTTAACTACAAACATATATAATTTTTAAAATTACATTATCCACTTCAACATTCAAAAGTTAAATGAATAAATCTATAGCCTAACATATGTGTAGTTTATATTAGGTGTAATGTGGAGCTTAGGACTAGGAAAGCATGCACAACTAGGTATGTGGATAAATATGATGAAAGCATATGCATGGTGCTTGTTTCTATTAAATTTATAGAGATGGATTTTCATTAGTGGGTTATTAACAATACATATTTTACTTACTCTTCTAATATTTTTATAGGGTAACAGAGTATAGGAATTTAGAGTGATATTGAGAGTGGAATGAGTTAGGCCCTTCCTTTGTCTATTCATGCTTAACTTAGCTATCGATGATGCATATGTTCTCAATAACATCACATTAAAAAAGGAAACATATTGATTTACATTTCCTCAATCCAAAATATTTTGTTTATATAACTATATCCATTATTTCATATTGATTTTTACAAAAGAGATTGAATCTCCACCAACCCTTATTCTTATTAAGTAGGATAATTATTGTAACTTTAGAAGGCAATACTAGTGTTGCAAGTAATTTTTTTTTCTCGTGGGATTAATACTATACTCTATCAGTATATTACTTGATTTGGCACCTATACTTGCGTATATAAAGTTGAGTTTTTATAATTTTTTTTATCAAAGAAAACCTAAGCATTATTTAGGGATTGTTATAACCCTAAATCATTCTCACAATTCATTAGGTTACTCCACTACCCTTGGTCAGACTGCAGCCATGCATATGGTTGTGTGTGATGATTTTCTTTCTCCTTTGTTTATAACTAGGATGACCATTATGCCAAATTTTTTATAATTTTTTTTTCTTGCTTTGGAGGACAGTTTTTTTTTTTTAACTTCTTTTTGCGGGACCTGCCAAAGTTATGGGGCTACAATTTTGGCTAAGGGCTATGATGATTCCATTGAATATTTGACTACAACCATGCGATGTCCCTCTCCGCATTCGGTTCACATTAAATAGTGCATATTTTTTTCACTTTGGATGACAATTTTTTAGATCACTAATGAATTATCAAATGTTGGAGTTTTTTTCCCACATTTGATTATCTTTTGGTAGTTTTCATATCAATTTGACTCTAATTATAGTATTAATAATCTTTTCATTTTTTCTATCTTTTGGTAGCTATTTTTTTTAATTGTAATTATAATATGACACTAGTTAGTTTTCAAAAGTTCGTTCCACATGGCACTCAATTTTCTGAATAATAATTGTGAAGTATTTCATGAAACATTGATTTAGCAAAATATTTTATGTGATATGTTTTAATTGTTGTACTAATCTTTTTTAAATATTTTATGTGATTACATTATGTTGCATGGGATGTTTTATGTAAACCAAAATTTTAAGGTGGCTTGGGTTTACATTCAGCTGTCCAACTGATAGGACCTCTTAGATCAAGGCTTGCTTGGAGATTTATTCAATATCCTGACAATCTTCTACATAGGAATTTTATTACTAAATATGGTGATAATATTTTTGATGGAAAGAATTCCGGCTCATCAACTTTGAAAATTCTACTTAACGGTGGAAATTATATCAGACCCATTGTTAAATTGATTGCTATTAATGGGAAGAAAATAAATGTTATGAATGACATTTGGCTCTTGGATAAATGCTTAAACTCTTGGCCAACACTTGCTGCTTGTGTAGAATTAAATAATGTTAATCTAGATCTATTTATCATGGCACATGGATCTTAGAATAAAATTCTGCTGCAAAATTTCTTCAATGATGATCTCATTAATTAGATTCTACAAGTAAAAATTGATTATGAAGCTGAAGAAGACTATTTGGAAACCATTTAAACTCATAATGGTAAGACTATAACTGCTATGGCTTATGAAGAATCGTTAAAGTATCAATCTAATGAACAATATTTGATTTTACTGATTGGATTAGAGGATTAAAATTGAACCCGAGAGTGGAGCTTTCTGGTGGAGAATGAGCAAATTTGCTATTCCAACTTTTGAATTTCTCAAATATAGAAATTTAAGCCAAAATGATCAATTTCCAAGAGATTGTCATATGGTTAAGAACTATGAGCATATAATAGTTCATTGGAAATTTATAAAAGAAATTATTCTCAGATTAAGAGAATGGGGTCTCTTTATTCCTTTATTCCAATCTCTTGATAATTGCCTTGAAGAACTAAGAAGACACTCCTCTCATTTTTCGAACATGGTGAAAATTTATCTTACGGCAGTATTTCTATCTTGGAAAAACAGAAATCACCTAGTTCATGGTAATTCTGTTTCTTCTAGCTCCTTTGTAGCAGCTAATGTGCTATTTTTGGCTAACCAAAATTTATTTCCTAATCAAGATAACTGGGGTGCTAATCTCCTAAGGGAGTTTACAAATGCTTGGCACCCCCTACTGCTCGATTGGATCAAAATAAATGTTGATGCATCTTTATTGACGACAAATCAAGCCGGAATTGGAGGTGTTTTTAGAGACCACAAAGGGAGGCTATTGTTGGCTTTCGGTAAAAAGAAGATTCATTGGAATATTTCTCAACTTGAATTAGATGTTGTCCTAACTATAAAGGAATTTATACAACCTTGGATGCTTGAGGCTAAAGGAGTTATCATTGAAGGTGACAACATAAATATCATCAACTTCATTCAAAATTATTTGAAGAAGTTTAAATGGCACTCAAACACAAGGTATGAGAAAGATCTTTTATTTCTCAATGATTTTAATAAGGTTTTCTTTAATCATATACATAGAGATTGTAATAAAGTAGCTGATGGTTGTGCTACTTCATCTTTAAGCAATGATTTTTACTTTGATAGTTTCTCTTTTGCTAACATCCCTTCTAAATTGTCTAGTTTGTTAAAGAAGGAATGTGAGGTATCTCTTTCTTGTAATTAGTTTCATTTCCTTCAATGCCAATTGCAGATTTGCATTTTTCAAAAAAAAAAAAAAAAACTTTTTTAAATAATGTGAAAATAATATTGTAATGGAAGAAAAATGGGTTGAGCAATCGTCTAAAGCACCGAGTTCGTGCGCCTGAGCATCCTCATATGCGAGCCCGCGTTTCGCCTGCTTGTGCTCCGTGTCGGGTCGGGTCCGGGTCTGAGTTTCCGACCTGTTTATCTACCCGGGTTGGGTTAGGGTCGACCCGATTGAATCCGAATTAGTTCCGAGTTCGACCCAAACTAGACCCATGACCCGAAATTGACACCCCTAAGACAGAATGAGAATTGCTGAAGATGAGTGATATTTTTGTTGTTAAATTAATGTTTGAGTGATAAGAATGTAATATTTATCTTTTGAATGTTAAATATATAATATAGATGTAATAAAATCACATGGTAAATCCCATAAAAATTATGTGCCATCAACCATCATCATCTTCGTCTAGCTTCGTAGTACTCATGAGCAACAAACTCTTGGAAATGAAGCCGGCTCCGCCGTCGCCGCGGGCGGCGCCTGTCTTCCTTACTGATTGTTTGGAAGAGCTTCTGAGATTAACTCTCTCTGCTTCCCTTTTGGAGGATTCTGATGTTTCATTAGGATTTTCCCGACTATACTGCGATAACCTCCTCCGAGACGACCCCTTCTTATCCCCTTCACATATTAGCTCGGTACGACCCTAGCAACTTCTATATCTTCTTACCTTTACACTCTTCCCGGAGGTAATTTTCATATAAGAGATTTCCGTAGACGGCAGTGAAAGGTGTACCGGCGTATCCTTTGTACAAACACCTTGCACGCGCTTTGGAGGGTTGTATAAGCTCTGGGAAGTTCTTGAGAGGCCTGGGTTCGGTGAAGGGATTACGAGAAGACGAGTTCTTCATGTTGAAGCAGAGAGAATGGGATAGATTGATCATGGAGAAGGGTGCTGAGTTGGTCAATGTGAGCTTAACCTAGCAATTGAGTGTCTTCACATAATTTTGGCTTTTGGACATTTTATGTGCTGTCTTATGACGTTTTTATATAATTTTTTTGTAAGGCAGATGATGGAGAGTGTAGAATTTGAACTCCATGTTCAGGAGCCTTTCTTCTCGCAGCTAAGAGGTGAATTTTGGGCACTGAAAATTAGTTTGAGCGCATTGTTTCTGCAGAGTTTCATAACAGGACACGAAGAACACTGTAGTTACATGCAAAATTTAGCAAGTTTGCAATAGTAAGGCGTTATCTTTTTGTTTAATTAAAAATGAATATATCATGCCAAAGTTATAGCTGTTTTCATCAACTGTAATTGATACTGTGCCAAAAAAAAACAAAAATTGCACATATTGAATTGAACATAACACGATTTCATTTTGCAGAATCTAGGTTCCTCTAAAATTAAGGGTTTGAAATTTTATGCTTGAATGTATTTTTATGTATCTTCTTTATAAAGTACTTAATATACTTATCTGGTCATCATGGGACTAAGTGATTATGTGCTGATTATCTGCAGTGGGAATGAAAACAGCTGAAGGTAGATGTGCAACTGAAGATTATAATAGGTTGGCTGTACAAAATTATCTAAACCTAATGGATTTTCACTCTTTTATTCAATAAGTCATCCTGTTTGATCTTAGAAGTTCACTTATCTGCATGCTGATCATCTTTGGCAAAGTTATGACTTTTTTTGTTTTTCACACTGTGTCACTGCTTTGTAATTTTAATAATTGTCTTTGAATAAATGGTATAGATGAGTGAAAAATTATAAGCGGACAAAGATATTTGAGACTCTTTTCTAATATCATTTTGATGAATGTAAAGATTGCTTGATAGATATATTGATGTTCTGCCTAAGCTTGTTGCAATTAGGTAATCTTGTGTATCCACTAGCATAGGCCTGAAAAGGTAGATAAATGTGTGTAAAATGAAAATTTTGAACTTTTTTGAAATGAAACTCCATGAGTCCATTACAAAGTGGATGAATTAATGGATAATTCACTCTCTCTCTAGTATCAACATGTTTTCAGCTGCTTAGCCTATCTTTGAAGGGAAAGCATGATCTGAGACAATGAACTATGGTTGTACTATGAAAGAATGTTGGCGGGCAGATGGGTGGGTGGATGGGGTTGTGCGGTGCCGAAGCTCTCAAAGTGTGTCCAATATTTTTAGGTTATTTCATTAATGACAATTTTGGAAATTTTATTATATTTTTATCTGTCCTTGGTATTTGCTTTATAAAGAGAGGGGTGTCATCTTATGCTCATATTAGATGAATCAGTGTTTAAACTATTTATGATCAAATCATAGTAAAATCTACAAAGTGTCTATAGGATGTACCTATCAATTGGGTGAAACTAAATAAAATTCTTTGTATATTTTCTTGCGATGATCTTCCTTTCCCTTTTCTTTGATTGAATAGGGTTTTGATTATTTGCTAATACATCCCATTTATTTGTCACATCTTGATTCCAAAAGATGGTACATCCTGACAACTCATGACATGATGACAAGGTTAATATCAACTTTTGAGATAAATCTTAAAAATCAAGTTCAATTAAATTTATTTTGCACTCACAAAAGAAAAGTTTTATATACAAGTATTAATAAGTAGCAAGTGTAAGGAATGAAAAGTAAATAATATTTTATTGCATCAATGGAATCTTAATAATACTTTAACATGGAAGAAAAAGTAATAACTAATAGAAAAAATGGAAGAAGAATCATTTAGAAAAGTACTTTGAATTTTAAATTTTTAATGCTTAATTTCTATACCATACTTGTTAACGGCGAATGGCGCACCACGGCGCAAAGGTCCCTTTGGAGCCATTACGCATAGCGCATGGCGCGGCGCACGCCATTTTGAATATGGCGCAAACTATACAAGAATTATAAAATAATAAGCATGAATATGAAATATCATTAAACTAAAAGACAAGCTATCATAATAATGAAAGATAATCATAGTCATATATAAATTCAAGTAAACAACACCCAAATATCTCATAATTCAAAATATTATAATCATTTTTAATGGTCAATTATTTTATAAGAATTTAATCAACTCTTCTTGGGAATGTTCATCATCAACAAATGCCAAAAAAGCTTCGTTATCTTCATCATCATTTTTTTAATTAGCATATAAAATAACAAAGTTTTATGGTTCCTTTGCATGTTTAGGGCTTTTAATGAGTCCAGTTTGGCCCTACAAG